GACTTTTGAGGTGAGCATGCTCATCACGCACCCGGCTGTCCTCAGCCTCGAAACGGGAGAAGCGCTCCTTAGCGTCACGGTGACGTTCTTGCAGACAGGACGCCTGTCGATTCTGGGCCTCTCGGTCGGCTCTGAGAGCAGCGAGTTGTGAATTGAGGTCTTTCAGACGAGCAGTCAAGACCTGCATACGGACAAGATGAAAAGGAAGCGTACGAGCAGATGGCATTCGATTTACTGTTGGTACAGACACACTAATAATACAAACGGTGCGCTCCCGCGTCTGCAAGGCATCCTGAAAAGACAGTAACTAACCTCAAGTTCAGTGTCTACACTGGTTAGTTGGTGCTTCAGTTCAGCCTCCTGCTTTAGTTCGCGTTTCTGATTCTGTTGAAAGATGACATTTTTCACGCGTATGACTTTGTTCATGAGACGAAGGTACGCCATGGCCTCATCGCGAACTACTTCCAGTTCATTCTTCTCCTTCTCCACGGCCTTGACACGTGCCAGCTTCTCCAACCGAATGTCTTTTAGACGTTCAATTCTGTCCGCGAGGATGGCAAGTGGTTTCTTAAAACGGCTCGATCCGATTATGTCCTGTGTTTGTAGCGCAGGGAAGGAAGTTTAAGAATATATACTCGCGCAAAGACAGACATAATAGAATGCACAAGGGTCAATTCCATTTACTTACCTCGAGATATTCAAGAAAACCAGTTTCATATTCCGTAGCAGCTTTTGGCTTCATCAAAGAGATCTGCTCCACCTCACCCTGGAGTATGAGGAAACGGTTGTGATCCAGATCGATGCCGTGTTGACGCAAAAGGCTAGTGACTTCACGGAAACCTGCACGACTTTCGTTTATGTAGTAGGCGTTTGAATTATCCTTAAATGCCTTGCGCGAAACCACAAACTCGCTGCCAGCAACCACCTAAAACACGTCAAAAAACAGACTTCATTTTACAAGAGGGCATCCAGAGGCAATGGCGCTAAAATTTTCCTTTCGTGACAGGGACTGGTTAACTATGCGCAATAACAAGGAAGTATCAGCCCAAAGATCTAACAAACTGAAATTCTGGTCATTTTTCTAACCGGTGTAAGAGGCAAGCGTTACATTTAATACTGGGAGCCGTACTGGTCGCATGCTGTCACATGTTTAGGTGGGAATTAGTGTTCAAGCGCTCAAAGCACTAAAACCAACCCATATATATGGCAACAGGTTAAGACCTCAAACTACTTGATTTGAAATTACCTAATTGTGCAGACCCATTTTTCTAAGTGAATTGAGGACATGAGCTTTTGAAAGAACGTCTATATGGACATAAACGCTGAAAGAAAGATATTGCTTAACTTCCTAGGCAACACCTCAGACTATCGTAGAGAGGGGACTTTATCTTTAGGATGTAGAAATAAACGCGTTCTACAAAAAAAACGGTATTTAGTCATGAGAAGATAGCAGGGTGACTATACAAAAATGCACGCCTCCGTTTCTTTTATTCTCAAATCAGACATTTGAATTTTATTTTCAGTACATATATCCATTTAGGTCAACTAATGGAACTTTTCTGGTAATAGAGAAAAGGCAGCTACGTTATGTCCAAAAACATTTAGCCAATAACGTTTAAAGGATATAAGAAAAGTCAGTCCGGCGACCGTAGTCAAACACACCTCGTAATCGCTTACTCCCTGACCTGTGTCGATAATGCGTTGAAAGTAGACGGAGACCTGGCAGAAGTCAACGCTCGGGAGTCGGTCGCTGTTATGAATCAAACTGCTGAGCTTTTTAGACCGCACTTTTGAGGCCCGAAATCCAAACACAAACAACAGAGCGTCGATAACATTGCTTTTTCCGCTTCCGTTAGGACCTAGAGCCAACATCATGTTTAAATGGTACTATCCAAGCGTTACCAATTATGCAGGTGAAGTTCTTGTGAAAAGGTCCCAAAATGCGTTTTCCACCATATGACTTGAAATTTTCACATACAATCTTGGATATCAAAAGACGTGAACCGCTGTTGTCCGCTAAGTGAACAGGGATCTCTGGCGGAGGTATCTCTACTGGAGGACAGTTACTGAGCAACTCCTCGTCAGTATAAACGGGTATATTCATCGGTTGATCCATACTCACAAAGATTCCTGGAAGAAAATATAAAACAACACGAAAGCTTGTAACAAGCATGGGAATTAAAATTAGTCTAGATATCCATTAACTTTTTTGGCTTCTTTCGCAAAGCTTGGGAGCAACGAATTATTACTGCATGATGAACTTCAAAAAGTAGACTGCTTAGTCGGGAAGCAATCACATACGAGTGACACCTGTGTTGTTGCTGTGGGAACTTGGAGGCGTAACTACTTTTTTTGTACCGTTACAAACTCGATGTAAATGTCTAAATAAGTCACGCAGCGTTGGAATAAATTCATCTAGCATGGACTTAATTTCAAGAGTCAACAGGTAAGCAGAGTCAGTTGAGTGCTTGGTCGGAGATCGCACACACAAACTATTACTACTGTGTGAAGGTTGGAAACTTTGTGAGTGGCACAAGGAGGGAAGAACTTCACAGATACGTAAACTTTAACATCAAATTATTGACGCCGTGGAGTGGCATGTAGCCGTAAACCATAATTATTTTGCAGTCAAGTTCAACTCTACTATTACTACCAGTGTTCAAATTGGTCAGAAAATCGGTCACAGAAATAAGTCGTATGCACTCCTCTAAGTCTTTAAACAGTTTCCAGGAAGAAAAAGTTGATTAAATGCGCCTGTGTTGATACATTGCAAACGGCATGCAGGACGCCTCCATGACATGAAAGAGGACTTAAAACATGAACCAAATAATTAATATTCTATAATACGTATGGCTTAAACTAGAAGTAGAAGGATGTTACCAGCAAAGACAGGGGACACTAGGAAGGCCTTTTCTGCCTTGTTAGGC